AAAAATCGATATTGAATTAGAATTCAGAAACATTGGCATATAAGCGTACAGTAAATTTTCTTCAAATTAAAATCATTCCAAGTGATCAATAAAAAGATCAATTAAATCAATTTATGCATTTTAAAAATCGTCCTTGAAATAGAATCATATTTTTGGAATTATTTTTAAACCACGTTTTCATTGAATTTTTCAAACAGGAGCGATCGAGTCGTACGAAAGATTTAATGGTGATTATTGTAGTCCTCCTGCGAGGGTTTGAAATCTTGTTCTTGTTCCTCGTTCGTCGCCGTGTAGGTGTGATAGTTTTGCGACTCGTGCTCGGCGTGGTCTTCCTGTAAGTCGTATCCACCTCCGCCTCCGCCACCGCCGCCGTAGTAGCTGTGCGCGTGATACGGGATCGGGTGTGGTACCGGATAGTAGATAGGCTTGTTCACCGTTACCGGGTGAGGGACCGGAATCGGGTGCGGGATCGGGACCGCTTTCGGCACCACTACCGGTATCTGCTGGTGAATCGCGATCGGGACCGGCTTGGACACCTCAACTGGCACGTGTTCCTGGACTTTCACTACCTTCGTGTACGGCACGGCGATCGGATGGTTCACCGGCACCGGGACGGGTATGTGATGGGGCACCTACGAGAGAGAAAGGGTTTCTAGTGCAACGGGACCTGCCTAAGCTTCTACCGTTTCGCGGTAGAGAGAAACGTTAACGCGGTTTCGTGAAAAGGGAAACGCAAAATAATTAAATCGAAATGACATACTTATGTAAATACTATCCCTTTATATACTTATATGATTATATTAATTTTTATATTAAGATTGCAGATTTTTATGTGAAATTTCTTTAGATATTTTTTATCACGTATACAATTTATGTTCCCAACTCTTGTTTAATTGATTCACTTGAATTAGAATCCTGTACAAAAGTCATCTACGGATCTAATTTTAATATCTACTTACAAAGTGGCAATGTTGAAGTATATAAAGTATTTAACAAAGAGATACCTTGACTGGATAAGGAACTGGAACTTTGATAACGGCCGTTTTGGTAACCTTGATCACTTTGGTCGGTATCTCTTTCAGATGAACCGATTGCGAGATGAGCTTCGGCTCACTGACGAAACCATGGCCTTCCAGAGAAGAAAAATGAGTGGCCCTCGCGGCGGCCACGGTTAAAGCGAGCAACAACTGCAAACGTGTAATCACGATTAAAGTTCATCGAACCTTCACCGCAACCAATTTTGATCGCGATAAGTGAAGCTTGTATTTTAATCAGTAACAATCTATCGATTTTAATTATGAGTGAATGACATCAGATCGACTTTCACTCAAATCTTATCTACCGCAACGATATATGAGTTATCAGAATTTTTATTCGAATAGTGACCACTTTTAAAATTTCGTTGCAATTACACTTTGCAAGCTGGCCTGCGTTCACTCAGATCTCACGTTCACGAGATGTTAATCAAAATGGATATGAAAATCCATGTGTCACAGCGGTTCGATTTCCGGGATCTCGTTTAGGGGTGGCGAACTTACTAGTTGCAACATGGTTATCCGGATTCGTGGGCGTATAGATAGATCTAGTTCTCGATGGGATGGGCTCACACTGACAATTCCAGTACCGGCAGTTGCTTATATACGAGGACCTTCACCGTCACCGATTCACGAAGAAAGCACTCTCTTTCCGACTGGATTGCGTTCTCCAATCTTGTCTCCTCTTTTTTTCTCCGTTGCTCTTCTCGTGCCGCTGAACGAGTTCGACGACCGTCACGTCCGGTCGACGAGCGCAACTCTGATCCGGACAGACGCATCTTTCGTCGAAAGGGAATCTCCGTTTTGCTATTTCGTAATCCCGTCACGCAACGTCCCTCTTATCTCATTACTGGACTACAGATTTTTAAATAAAACTAAACATTCTATCCATTACTGAAATAATTAGAATAATTTATCAAATCAGTTTTGCTCGTACATGTCTTCTTGCCAAAGAATATATTAAAATCTGGGGCACAAAATCATAATCTGCTGTCAGAGACTCGAGCGTGTAAATTATGCCTTTACGTAATTGAAGCAGCTCTTAGGAGTGATGTATAATATAAGTATGCACTGTTAAGGATAATCGGCTTCTCGGGAGATCAACGGATTTATTTATTGACAATCGATGTTCGTGTTTCACGTCTGAAATTGAATTCAGTCGAACTTTCACCGTATTTTCTGTCCAGATGCTCTTAAGATGGCTTAATGCATTGGAAAGTAAAAATGTCACCCACCGTTTCATTAATGCATTGGAAAGTAAAAATGTCCCCCGCCGTTTCATGACCAAACAATTTTGCTAACACCAAACACATCCTTAAAATCTAACATACTAAAGTATCCTTAAAAACTGATATATTAAATTATATTAATGATCGTGGCTATTTTTATTACAAAAAAATATGTAATATTGATATTATTTTGTTATTTTAGTTTACTGACTCATATTTAATGCAACGAAGTTGGTTCGATTTTCAGCAGGCTAAAGAACTGTACCGGGAAGTGACACTTCCTGTTGCAAAAATAGTGAGAGGAAGTAGGAGAATGGTAGGTGGAGTATAACTCTAGGAGAATGTCTGAAGTAAAAGGATTAATCTGTATCATCTTATTTTAATTTCGTGAACTATCCCAATCAATTCTCAACATAATGTATATACTTATTAAAGTACTTGTTTATCTGAATGATTTCTTTATTAACATTAGTGTCCCAAGGAATCGTATCACATCATCATTAAACTTCATTTAGATTAGCATTGAGTGCATAAATTTATTAGACAATTTAATTAATTTCCTGTATAGATATTTGCCAATTTAGTTGAGGAAAACGAAACACGTTTCGAAATAAGTAAAAGTCTAGAATCGCTTAATCAGTGACGGTTTTTTCGTAAGGGCAAAAACCGGTTCACTACAAAAGCAAAAGTAAAATGATTATTCTCGCTCAACCCTCTTTCTCCTCTCACTTTCGATGAAAGCTGGTAAACCGTACTTCAGAACGCGTTACCTATAACCGAGCACTGATCTCCGTAACCGATTTTTAACACAGGATCAATTTTTGCGACACAACAAAGGATTAATAAGAGTGTTGGTAAAAGTAGAGCCGTATTATTCCCGGTGTTCCAGGAGAAAGGGGAAAAGCTGCGAAATGTGCTACGAGAGAACAGCGACTCGTGAGAGGAGGAACATTCCAGTCTGACTAATAGTATGCGGTAGTAGAATTTCATTTAACCAGAAACTGTAAATGTGCTTCTTTACTTCTTATATTAAGTGAAACATGGAAGATATTGTAGAAGTTTTAAATAAAATTGCGAATTTCATACGAAACTCTTTGGAACGATCGATAAGTAAGTAGATCGTGACGTTAATTTCTAACTGGTATCAAATTCAGTATCGAGTCTCAGTACTGAAATCGTTTTAGAACCTCACCCACCTGGCGTCTAGTTTCAATATCATTCTCTGTTTAAATAAGTATAAATAGATTCGAACGTAGCACACAGCCTGAGAAACTGTGTTCCTGTATCGGCTCGGTGGAGTGTCGGTGAATTCGTGTGGGAGGTAATCGACATAATTGGAGCGCGAGCCGGGGATCCTTTCCTTCCGCAATTCGACGGAGAAGTGAACTCAGAATCGCTACGCTCGTGAACGTAATATGATTTGCTCTGGTTTAATAGGTCCGTGCGTTCGCAATTTATACCTTCGCTTTTACTAGAATCGAATTCCTTCCAATTTTAATTAAATATCCTCGAAAAAAAATGAATGGAATATTCTTCTGGAACCACTCGGTTCAAATGGCGTGAATATTTATAAATGTCAAGGTGTATATTAATTATATGAATGAATTCACTTCGGCCCCTGGTTGGCAAATACTTCTCGCCTTACCTGCTTCGTGAGAAATCTACCCACAGGCTCCAGACTTCATTCTATTACCAGGTAGGCAAAGATACTATATTTAATAAAAAAGATGTTGCATTTAGAATGTAGAATAGACAATATTAGAATAAAATTATGTATTTACATATTTACAAAATTTCATATGTAAATAAGATTCATTATTATCAATTAATAATGCATTGAAATTTATGCAAGGATTCTTGTGCAACTTCTAGACGAATTTTTTAACGAACGTGAATTATGCAATTAATGCAATGCTAACGACCTTCCATTAAATAGATTTATTTGTCACGTGGAAAGGAGCCAACCAGAAATGGGCAAGTCTGAAACCGAGTGGAATCCTTGCTTCCCAAGGTTGCAAGTCGTTCTAAAAATCCCACCTTCCAAGGAAGGAAAAAGAAATATCTCTATTCTTCATAATAATAAGAAAAGAAACATGAACTTCCAAGAATTATTTCTCGAAACACTGTCACCTTTCAATAAGTTATGACAAGACGTTTGTAATTTATCGAAACACGAAACGTGACTTAAACAACGACAGGATCGTACGAATTACTTAAAAGCCTATTGACGTGCATTAAACGTTACAAAAATCCATCCGGTCGTTATCCGACTCGGTTAAAAGGTTCGTTTTCTCCTAACGAACCCCGATAACAACCGCGCGCGTGTACAAGGGACAAAGAGAAGAAAGGGAGCGAGAGGTCGAGGCTGAGATTTGCATAAATCATCCTCTCGGTTCCTATGGTGGCTCGCCGAAATATCGGGAGTAAAGACGGGCGGGAGGAGAGAAGAAGAAGAAGAAGAAGCGAGGAACACCAATACCGAGGCCGAGGATGGGTCCTCTGGTCACCAACACACCAGAGGGCTATTCGGAAACGGCGGACATCACAGATGGGAGTCAATTAAAAAATCTAGTTCTGCCAATGCCATCGGATTCCGAAATAAACTGGAGGGAGCATCGGCCGGGTATAAAAGGTCGAAATATCTTTCGGATGATACTCGACTCCTCATCCAAACTCCATACGGTTAGCATGCGACTCCTGTTCATCACTCTGGTAAGAATCCTCTTCCTCAAACACTATACTTAATTATTTTATATCCTCGATCTTTTTGAAATTAAAATTCACATATATTTAATTCAAACAGGATTCAATTTTATGTAATATATTAATTATATTTATTGATCCGTTTTCTTTGAATTATTACAGACTTGCCTGGCGGCTTCTTGCTTGGCTCTGCCGCAGCCAAAGCAAAAGAGGGATATCCTGCCAGGTGACCCGCGGTACGGTACCGATCATCATCATCATCACGATGAGAACGTGATTCAAGACGCGAAATCATACAAGGCACCGCAGGACACGTATGGACCTCCTGGACATCAACCCGGTACTCCCTTAAAAAATTCTTATCTGTCACCAGTAGAGAGTGACTCCGTTCAACAGCAGATAACATCCTACGGAATTCCCGAGACCGTAAGTGATGTAAAAATGATAGAAGATTTTTTCTCTTATAATTTGTATTTGTATCAAAATTTCTATATTTTTTATTATTTGTATTGTGTAGGTTTCAACGGGAGAAGTGCAGAAAACAGTGTCCAGTACAGTTTCGTTGCCTGTTCAGAACGTTGAGGTACTTAAGTGTTAATTTGATTCATTTTTTATTTGTACAATTTTAATTCTGTTTTTTATAGACTGTGGAACCACCAGCAACATCTTACGGAGTTCCTTTAGTTAAGAGCGTTAAGGTGAGACATTTATATTCAGAATATTCAATTTTCTTGATGAATATTAATTAATTATATTTTTATCATTTGTCAGACGACGTCTGAGACGAATTCTCGCGTTAAATCTACGATAAAGACGGTACAGACCGAGGTCCACGAACACCAGCAAACAGTCCCACAGACTGCGAAGGTCGCACCAGCTGTACAAGGTAAAGAATTTTGTCTCTATTTACCCTAGAGAATTAGAAAATATGCGAGATTTACCGAAGACATTTATGTAACCCGAAGAATTTTAAAACACGTTCTGTCAACGACGGCCACTGGCATAATGAGCCGTACTTTGCACTGTGAATAATTTATCAGAGCTTCTTAATTGCTCGTTTAGAAATAATGTTGTTCGCGAAAAAAAAAACTTGTCGTCGCCTTTTATTATAAATTGCCTGATTAAAATGATTGCAAATCTTCTCGATTGCAGAGGTGACACATTACACTGGAGTGAACTCTGTACCAGTTACAACCACGCTGACGAAGAACGTTGACAGCAACGTGTTCGCTGAAACACTGCCTAATTTCTACAACTCGTACAACGTTCCCAATTACGACGTTACTTCTTACCTTCCGTCCAGTTATTCAACCATACAACAACCAGGATTGAACGCAGAACTACATTCAGGATTCAGTTCTTATAACAACGTGCCTGCCGTATACAGCGGATTCGGTTCGAACTATCCATTAACTTCTGCCTACCGTGGAGTCAATCTCCCACTGTCCTATCAATTCTCTAACACTTTACCAACCTACGCTTTCCCACGGTTAATCCAGATCTCTAAAAATACTCCTCAATTCCCATACACCCTCACGAGAACGCAACCCTTTGCGTCAGTGCAACAGTCGCAAACGTTGCCAGTACAACAGGTGCACGTGGAATCTGTAAAACCTGTAGAAGCACCGGTGCAGCACACCGTGCATTCCGTACAGACTCCAGTACACTTCTCTGTACCCTCTGTAACGCAGACGAAAACAGAAACACCAGTACAGCACACTGTGCACTCCGTGCAATCTGTAGAGGCTCCAGTACAGCACACTGTGCACTCCGTTCAATCTGTAGAGGCTCCAGTACAGCAGTCTGTGCACTCCGTTCAACCATTAGTATCGCAAACAGAAACAGTAACACCAGTGCAGCACACTGTTCACTCTGTTCAATCTGTAGAATCTCCAGTACAGCACTCTGTGCACTCTGTTCAACCATTAGTATCGCAGAAAACAGTAACACCAGTACAGCACACTGTGCACTCCGTGCAATCTGTGGAGACTCCAGTACAACAGCACTCTGTGCACTCCGTTCAACCGGTGGTGACGCATACGAAAACGGTGATACCATTGCAGCACACCGTGCACTCCGTCCATTCTATAGAACCGGTGCAACACACGGTGGAGACTGTTTCACATCCGGTGGAGTCTGTGAAGACGGTGCATCAGCCTGTAAAGTCTGTGGACATCCTGCAGCCACCGGCGCAGTCCGAACAGACGTATCACACGCTGACTGAAGTTAAGAGCAAGACGGTGCCAGTGGGACAGACTCAGTCTTTCGATCAGAATCAAAAAGGATTCTTTGAAGACATTATTAGTCAGCTGCCTCAATTTCCCTCGCTGCCCTCGTTACCCTCGTTCCCCTCGTTACCCTCGTTTGATTTCTTCCCATCTTCGACTCCGTCTCAAGAAGATCCCATAGACGATGTGTCGTCTAGTTACACTGCTGGTCATGTCCAAGGCATCGTCGTTTCTAGCACTCCAGCGAGTCTGGTGAAGAACGAATACGTCCAACCGACGGACGCCAACGGTGGATACATTTATTGATTGAGTTATTTTCGTAGCGTTCGAGTACAATTAAATTGACAAAGGCCTGTTCTTTACAATGATAACTGGAGATATTGTAAATTTCAGATAATTATTTAGATGTAAAGNAAATGTCAAGGTGTATATTAATTATATGAATGAATTCACTTCGGCCCCTGGTTGGCAAATACTTCTCGCCTTACCTGCTTCGTGAGAAATCTACCCACAGGCTCCAGACTTCATTCTATTACCAGGTAGGCAAAGATACTATATTTAATAAAAAAGATGTTGCATTTAGAATGTAGAATAGACAATATTAGAATAAAATTATGTATTTACATATTTACAAAATTTCATATGTAAATAAGATTCATTATTATCAATTAATAATGCATTGAAATTTATGCAAGGATTCTTGTGCAACTTCTAGACGAATTTTTTAACGAACGTGAATTATGCAATTAATGCAATGCTAACGACCTTCCATTAAATAGATTTATTTGTCACGTGGANATAACTGGAGATATTGTAAATTTCAGATAATTATTTAGATGTAAAGATCTGCTATTATAAGTAAATAAAATTCTTTTATTGTAAATGTCATTGGTTTTTCGATAACAATTATCCTTTAACACTTGTTACGTTCATTGTTTTTATACGAGAGTTCACGTGCGCGTAAGGAAGAATTTATAAAACGTCGTTTCAAACGAATGATCTTCACCATACTTTACATTTATTTCGAGGATTCATGTTCGATCCGACTGGGCATTTCCACGCGTCGCTGAATTCTTTCGAATTTCTAAGGACTGCGCGCAGTCGCACGTGTCCTGGGCAATGGGAGTCCTGCAGGATCCATTTCATAAGCTGCGGCTTGTACGACTCGCACCACATCTAAAATNAAAATATAATAATAAAATAATAACTAATTCCTAATTCATTTTTTAATGTAGAATTAAACCTCTTACAATGACATGTTGTTGTAATTTATTTGGTGAATGCATTCCAATTCGGATAGAGACATCAGTCGAATAATCTGAATCATGTTACTCAAGTATTCCGTCTCCGAGAGATCTATCTGAAATCAATCGGATTCATTTTATTAATGTTGTTACCTGTAGATAGAAAAAAATACTTACGCCTTCGTAATATTCGTTGAGTATCGTTTGATCGAACAGCCAATCCGGGAAGCCAATTTGAGACTCCATTTTGCTGTTCTTATCTAGAGTTGCTGCTTTCGTCTGCGCGTCCATCCAATCGGTGTGCGAAACCATCGAAGCGAATGCTTCCTTTATGTCGTTCATCATTTCGAACACCTTTTTCCCTTTGTCTTCATGGAACGACGGATCTACGATCAACCAGGAAGCCGCCATCCCTACGATTGTAAGGGATGAATTTTTTCACTGCATTGACAATTTTAATTATTTGTAACATGCATTTAAATAGAATTATTCTCATAAATTAAAGAAATTCTGAACTTCAAATCATTGGATAAAATATTTATTCACGAACCCATCAACTCGTTCACTGCAGAAGCACAACGAAGTGATTTCGATTCACCGATTTCAATGCTCGTAATTTCATTAATATACTTCACCCAGATTTCTCTTAAATTGCTAGGTGTATGAGGTACGACGATGTCAATAATCACCCACCAAATATAAGTCTCTAAAATTATTAATAAATAATTAATAATAAACAAATTCTTATATTTTATAAGAAAATTCAATTGAATGTAAATTTATATTATTATTAATTTGATGAATTTCAACCTAATTCTTGCTCCTCTGAAAGAGCCAGCACGAGAGCGGCTTCTTTTAAGAATTCCAAATCGCCAATTAACACTTTGTCCTTATCGTTCAAATCTAATGTGTCGATGTCCTTATAAAGCGACTCGATGAATGGTCGCCATAATGGTTTGGGTGTCAGAGTCGAATTGATTTCCGTGACGTACTCGTCGGTCAACTTCTGGAGATCATCGACCAGCATGTAGTCATCATTAGATGGATCGCGATCCCATATAGTCTCGTTGCCCTCGAAACGAGACAACTGCAATGACGTAACATTCATAATTACTATACTAAGTATTTCATGCTTAAATAATTTCATGTATAAAAAATAGGCTTGAATAAAAAAATTAATATTTTTCATAATTTGCATGAATGCAATTAATTATTTATTGAACCTCGTAATTAAAAGTTTAAGTAGCTCGTAAGAACTAATACTTAATTCACTTACGTAATAAAACAAGCTGGTCATTTCGTAGAGCGTCTCAACGACTTCCTCCAACTCTTCTTTTTCAGGATATAAGGAGTTTTCTAAAGAGCAAACATCGAGACTTCCATTATTAAGGATCTCCTTGATTACGTCAGTCATATACGTAATTTCCGCGTCCTTCGCTTCCGGTTCACTGTCCTCAACTTCCTCTTCTTCTAACTTCCGGAAACGAGATCTGATCAAATGCAGCCGTTTCTCCAATTCTTTATCACTGATTTTCGAAACAAATTAAATGTTAAATATGCATTAAATAAAATTAAGTTTAATGATGGGAGAATTTACTTCGGTAAAGGGTTGCTGGTGAGGGGAGTGTCTAGTACGATGACGTTCTTGCTCGTGTTCCGAGGATCTGGTGTGATGTCCAAACCGAAAAACAGATCCCTCCCTAAAATTTTCTTGACCATGGCCATCTGTTCGATATAATTGCCCGTCTTTTTAGTAAACGCCGCAGGAATCGGAGGTAGACCGAGCTCTTCGAGTAATTCGAACACTGGCGCCAGTCCCAGCTCGTTCATCGTGTCTGAAATTCGACTGAAAATAAGTCCCGTTTTACCTAATTTAATTCGATTAATTAATTTGTAAAGAAATTGTTGGAAGGAACGTACGCACGTCCATGCAGCTGGTGTACAATATTTTCGCCTGCTTCACGGCCCAAGGTGCATCAGTGTTCGTGGTATTGTCCTTCAGGACTTCCCGAATTTTTATAAATACCCTTTCCCTGCGCTCGTCGAACCACGAATTCATGAAACTCTTATCAGGTATTGGGTGCTCGTCCGACCATTTTCCACAGACGTAGCTGGAAAAGGCAAAATTCAAGGTGGAAAAATAGGAATTTAAGAAATGAGACGAATTATGATAATTTTAAATGTAATTGTGATTTACTCACTTATAAAAGTCATCACAAGGATCTACAGACGTGTCCATAGATTGTTTCAAACTGGCAGCTGAGGAAACGAGGGTTTCATTTAAATCCTTAGAAATTTTATTTATTATTATTAATTCTTTACTCACCAAATCGTACGCAGCCCTCAGTTTCGCAAATTTTCGGAGGCCTGTACGTAACATCTGAGAAAAATAAATGATTGGATTGACGCAAGAAATTCTTGCAAAACAGTTCTGTTTGTCAAACGTTACTTACAAAGTATAGAAAAAACGAGTGCTAATACAACAGAGGAAGCCAACACGAGGAACAATATAATCATCGTTAAATTCGGTACTTGCGTCCGTCTCTTCAAGCTGAAAGAAACGAGGAATGAGTCTAATTGGCAGGCTTCCCGTGACTGTTTCATGCATGCTATGACACGAGTTAATGACTAGGTGAGCGGAGACAACCAACAGATTCGAATATTGCAATCACTCACTAGGCGTGTCTGGATCTAATCGGTACCAGGTTCTGGTGGCTGGCGATCGTGTAAATCGACTGAGTTTCATGTTCTGAGGAAACGATAAGACAAATATAATTATATATTTAATTATGTAATTTAAATAACAATACGATAATAATTTTGTTAATTCAGTTTTCACGTA